CATCCGCAACTCAACCCTCTCCGCCTTTTCGGTCCGGTACGGCCTTGACAAGAGAGCAAACTTCCCCAGCGAGTTCAATCTGACAGGCAGACCGAACGGCAGCACGGCCCACGCCAAAAGGAAGGAGAAGGCCCTGGCGGATATTTTTGAGGCGTATGTCGGGGGGGTGATAAGGTCTGATCTTGTCAATGGGTACAAAAATGCTGTGGTTTGGTTGAAGGCGTTATGGGGACCGTTGTTGAAGGCGGAGATCAAGGTTGAGGAGGGCGGGGGACGGATGATCGACAAGGAGCAGAATCCGAAGGTGAGGCTGGAACAGCTGATCGGGGCCAGTTGTGTCAGGATTGAGTACAGGGATTTGCCTGGGACGGGGGAGAGGTTTGTGGATAAGCAGCCGCAGTTTGGGATTGGCGTGTATTTCACGGGGTGGGGGGAGGAGAATCTTTTGCTGGGGGAGGCATGGGATTTTGGTAAGAAGAGTGCCGGGCACAGGGCGGCGGAGAAGGCTTGTGGGCATCCGATGGTGGTGGGGAGGTTGGTGGAGAGGAAGAGGGCTTATATGGCCAAGAGGGCCATTGAGAGGACGACGGAGGAGGAGGAGGTGAAGGAGGAGGAGTGATTGGGGAAAGAGGTGTGTTGTGTGTGAAGGGTTCAAGCATGGTCATACACGTGAAGTGTGCCTGCTGGCGATGACACGATGTGGATGGATGAAGTAATTTGATACCGCCAGAGAAACAATTCGTTTCCAAAATTCATTGTTTGTCATAAACGCATCACAATAACCACCCGCCGGTATCAAGTTATCTAAGTGTATCTAAACATATGTGCAAAGGGAATGTGTTTGTTGGCAAAAGAATGTGAGAGCATCTTTTCGGCTCCTGTGGTGTGTGGTGGTGTGCGTGTCTGTTGCTGTGACAGCGTGCCATTTTCAGGCAGCCTTTCTGTTGCTGCATTGCAGGTGTACTTCCGGGTTTTTGTGGAGGTTGGAACTGAGGCGGGGCGTGTTGTTGTTTTCATCAGATTTGATGGGCGAATGTTTTGAAGCCGTACATAAGATGGCCACGATGGCTTGACTGAAGTGTGCCTGCCTTGCTCAGGAGATCCCTACTTTCTCGTCTGGGAGAAGGATTGGGGGATCACTGGCTTTGGAGGGTCGTCCGTCGTGGCTTTTGGTGTAGTATGATCGGGTTTGGTATAGGGGGCTTGGGCTGGGCCCCTGTCTCGATGGATGTCCGCTTGATGATGATGCCCTTGACGCTTGTGTTGAGGGCTCGTTTGGCGCTGCTGTCGGCCGGCAGCTGTAGGTAGCAAGCTGCCGTGGGCTGATCTACCTCGTCCATCCAAAAGGCAGGGCCCAGAAGGAGTTACGTCTCATCCCTCGCAATACCGGTCCTGTGTTCCCAGCAGCAAGAGACCGTCTCTTGAAACCCCCCTCCTCATCTCGAAGGCAGTATCTTCCGAGCATACTCCCTCCCCAACCTGAACAACCCCCTCACGTGATCCTCAAACCTCCTGTCCTTCCTCTTCCTCATCCAAACAAGCAGCAGAACAAGCAGAAGCAGATCAACAGTAAAATGCTTCACCGCCCCCCAAAACCCCCAGCTCACCCACGCCCCCAACCCACTATCCTTCTTCGTCCTCCACTCCCTTCCCGTAGCAATCTGCTCCCTCAACGCGGCGATTTCAGCCGACAACCTCACAATCGCCCGCTCCATCCTCTTGGACCGTTTATCGCTCCTCCCCCTAAACCCCCCCTCATTCTCCTCCCCGTCCTCCCCGGCCAGCTCCACCATCCTGGCCTCGCTCTCATCCGGCTCGCTCATAGGACTTATAACCCTCATCGGCTGTTCCTCCACCCTCCCTCCACCAAACCGTCTGATGACCTGCGTAAAGCCCGCCAGCCCCCCTCTATCTTTCGATACCGTTGCTCGACATTTCTCCCTCCTCTCTCCCCTTCCTTCTCCCTTCTCCTTTCCCTCTTTTTCTTTTCCTTCTTTCTCTTTCTCCCCTTTTTTTCTTCTTTCTACTTTTCCTTCCTTTCCCTCTTTTTTCCCTTTTTCTCCTTCTTTTTCCCTTCTCTTTTCTCTTTCTCCTTTTTCT